AGTTCTGTAAGGGATTATAGTACAAAGTGGAAACAATACCTTACTCCTTAAATGTAAAGTGCACATCTAAATCACCTAAATATAAGTCTTTCTAGTGAATAAACAGAATCGTCTCTCACACATCACAAAGGATTCTTTATAAAGCAGCCTATAAAAAGGTTTTGGAACAAGCTCTAATAAAGAGAATCCAGATGAAACCAATATATGACTGAGCAGAAAAAATAATTAAATCCCATGTTCTCCCTGAATTCCACTAACCTGCTTAAATAATAGTGCTTGCTGTCAAAACTCATTGAAAGTGGAATGTGCTTTATTTTGGTGTTAAAATAGCTAAATTCTAAATAGTAAAACACTAGTATCCCTTCTTCTCTTTCTCCTTCAAACCTCCTCTAGTGTATCAGCATTATAGAGAAAAAAGCCAGCCCTCTAACCATGCAAGTCTGTTTTGTTGATATTTTAATATAGTTTTAAAAATAAAATGCATTTTGCTATTCAGAATTTAAGTAGAAGTTTGGTACTGTGGTAGTTGAGTATATCTACTGCACCTCTAAGGGACCTTTCTTACCCTCTCTCAAGGTCCTGAAGTTTTTCACCTTACGAGGGGTGACGTGGATTAGGTCACATCTCTCTCTCCAGCGGAGGGAGAACAGACAGTCATATGAGAGGTTCCAGGCACTGCTTTGGGCTTTCTCTCTCCCTGTCGTCCCTGTTATGCTATGTACAGCCCATGCTTTTCATCCTGTACCTTCCTGCTCTGCTTCCCTTTCCATTAAGAAAGTGCATGGTATGGAAGTCAATTCTCTATCCGCACAGGTAGAAATTGCTGTCCCAAGACAATATATACTTTGCAGCAGTTGACAAAAATTGTTTCCCCCTGTACCTACTGCTTCCACCTGAAGAAGTGGATGGAGAGGATACTGGAGGATGGGGAAAAGTAGTAAGGATGCCTTCCTTCATGCTTCCTTCTTTCCCCTTTATGGTGACTGTGTCAGCTCTTTGGTAGCTGTATTACTGGAGTATTCCTCCAGATCCTACAGTTTCTCCCTCTGTTTTCATTGTATTGCAATGATCTTCTAGTGCCGGTATTTTATTTTTGAAGTATAGGGCTGGTCTACAGAGGCCACAAAAACATGACCTGAGCAGCACAGAGTCTGCACCTATGGTGAATAATGACTTGGGGCAAAGCTGCGTTAGCCTGTCACATAGGGGTTGCGCTTACAAGAAGCCTTCTTGCGTGGCTTTGCTAAGGACCTGTACTCTGCAGAACCCAGGTTCAATGATAGTGAGGTGAGGTAGCTATCTACTTCAGCCTATTGAATGGGGTCTTTTTTAGATGCAGAAGCCCTGCTAGGTAACATCTGCCTCAAGCGTTATTTCCTTGATGATTATTTTTCTGCCTTTCCACTGCTTCTTTCATAGGACTGTAGCATAAATACTGCAGTCTGATAAATATTGCAGAGTACCTTTCAATTCTTGCATCTCCTTAATATTATTCCCTGCTGCTTCATTATACAGTTAGAAAAGAATCACCTCCCACACTAATCTTAGCTGATGAGAGTAGCTGTTGACTCTAGCTTTGTACGGAGGGCTGGCATGCCTGCTGGCATTTTTTGACTTTTCTCCTAGTCAGTGGTGAATAGCAGGCATTTGTGCCTTGCAGTTTCTTATAATCTCAAATGACATTTCTCTCTTTCTTTACCATGTGACTTTACACTAAGTCATTTAGGAATAATCTAAATGAAATTTGAATTTTAAGTTCTGCTTTCTTTTGAAAAACACATTATTTAGTGGACCACAGAGGCTTCTGTTACCTTGGCAAATGTATATTTCCAGTAAAAACCAACAAAACCATCAGTTCAGGAGAGATCTTGGTTCCATCACATTAAAATAGAAAATCTTTAATGAGGGCAGCAGAATGACATGCCAAACATTATGTGTGTTTGAAAACATCATCATGGAACCATTTTTTTTGCTTTTCCCCCCTGTTTGAAAGACTTTTGTTATTAATGGATTGCTAAATAAAAAATGTTCCAGCAACACTGTAGAGTTTTCATAATGATGTTTCAAACATATTTAATTGCCTTTATTTTCAATGTGCCCTGTTAGAAGACTGAGCATTATATGTAAATTTTCAGTATAGAAGTCAGGTATGCTCAACTTCCTAATGCAACAGCCTATGAAAGAGAAATATAACTACATAGAGGAAGGGATATGCTTTCTAATGGCCAGGTCTGAGACACTCTTCTCTCTCACCATAGTGCATGGCTGAAGAGCTGCATCCTGAGAGGCACCACTAGGCACTCGGTCCAGTCATTAAATTTACAGATCTCATTTCTTTTAAATAGAACATATAGATGACAATCTATTAGGGAGGTCAGAAAAGAATTATAATGTAGATTTATGCTTTTTATTTTATATATGATAAATACTGTAATTTTTCCTTAGATTAGCATACTCTCATCAAAGAGAAATGTAGCACAACGGTTCTTCCCCTCACTGACGTAACAGGTTTATATATTAATGAAGGATCTTGTCATTCTTGCTTAAGAATCTGCATTCCTTCTGACTCCCTGTTACATTTTGCCAGTGCTGTAATGCAATCTCTCTTTTATCACTTTCAAGATTATGTGTCTGATTTCTCTGTTTGAGAGCAGAGATCTTTTCTGCCTTAAAGAGTGAAAAAAGAAATTAGGGCTAAAGTTTTTTAGCTCTGCATCACTCAAATTTGTTAATGTTTTCAAAACAAGGTAGTACCACATGTGTGAGAGCAACAGACTATTGAATGACTGGGAAAGAGGCAATGTGAACCAGGTACTCAAGTGTTATAAACTAGAATAACTAGGACTTATTCTGATCTGGCCAGCATTTTTTTATGCACTTACCCTTTCAATTAAGAATTCTTTATTGAATGCAAGTCAGCTATTTTAGAAGGAAAGATGAGAGGGGATCCTGAAAGATAATGTAATTTTTTTATGATTGCCTCTTGATTATGGATCCAGTACTTCAAACAGTCCTTAAACAAAATACTGTTGACTGTGCTGATAGCAGAAAGAAGTTAACATCCCTTTTCATACAATACAGCTAATGATAACTTTGAGAGAGATGAATATAACCCAACTGAAATGTCAGCTATTAGTTCATGATACCCCCTCACACAAGTGAGCACCTTCATAAGTCAACAGGATTTTTTGGAACATACTCATAAAGAAATCAACAAAAACAAGACACAAGTTCAGCAAATAACAATTGCTTAAAGTGAATTGAATTATTTTCAGATCATAAATGAAGCAAAACTATAAGAAAGTAATACTGTTTTAAAATAAAGGAGGATTATACAGCTTCTTTCTGACACAGCTGAACAAAATCTGAGAGCTACTGTTTTAGAATCTCTCTAACTAATCCTTGGAGGAAAACAACAAACCCAACCAAACCCAAGGCTGCTGTGTTATAATCCTCAGTGCAGAGTTACATTGCTTTTGTTACTTCATATGTACCATGCCTTTGGCAGTGCACCAGATGTTTGCCTCCAGCTATATTTTGCTTTTATATACACATTCTGAGCAACAGCAAACCAAAAATTTAAAATATGTTCAAAATAAAAATATTTTGCAATGAGAAACAGACTCTGATACTGGACTTAAAGTATCTAGTAATTCTAAATGTCAGATTTCCATATCTTAGCATGTTTTTGTTTTTCAATAGACAAGATTGGCAAAAGTAGACACTCTTGCCTAGAAGCTATGCCATAAATGTGATCTATTATGTTACAAGTCAAAGAAGAAACTCCTATAATTTATTTAATCCTAAACAGGGAAAATCTCTCTAACAGTTTTAATAACTGTTCTCCTATTTATTAATGTGAAGTACAATAAATGTAAAAGACCATCCAGAGCCTTTTTCATGTTTTAGAAGAGCTGCATGTTTTTCCAAAGTTGTGAAGTGCTTCTTAACTGGTATATAAGTCATATCGATATACTTCAAAGAATGAGACAGAAAACTTGATATCTTAATAAATTAAACTTCCTGTATTTATGCAACATGTAGGAGATAAATGTGGATAAACACAGCTGTACTCATCCTCCAAATGTTTCAGTGAAGCAGTTGACTATTTGTTTTTAGTTTTGGTCCAAGATCTCTTTGCATTGAATCAAAATGAAGCATTGCAAAATTTTCATGTAGTTTGTCTATCTCAAAAGCTGTATGAGTTTTATCAATTGAGAGAAAACCCCTTCAAAAATATAAAAAGGATTAAAAATAAGTTTCAATTATCAATGGGTGATTAAAAGAAAAGAAAATCCTTTTCATGAATCAATACTTTACAAATTTTAATATATTTCCCAGGTGATATGCAGACTATTGGGCTGTAGATACCTTGTGCTGTCTGAGATTATTTCAACATACACCTTCCAGGGGAACAGTAATACGATGTACATTGAATGAACTCTATAACTTAAGTGTGTCAAATGTGCTCATTGCAAAACCACAGGTACTATCCTTAAGACAATAAAAAGTCCTTAAAACTGTAATCTCAACTCAGTAATTTGTCATTATCTTGTAAAATTGAAATAAAAGTTACAAATACTAATCTATTCTGTAATACTGTGGGATTTACCTAGGGTATTCTGGATCCATTTTTTTTAATTAAAAATACACCAGAATTAAAAACAAAAAAAAAAGGGAACATCAAAGAGTACTGTACAATTATACCACTATGTAACAGTATGTATAAATACTTGGCAGTAAAGCTTCAGTAGAGAGTGATTTACAATGAAAAAGTTAATATTTAGTTTGACACGGAAAGTTTGCAATAGCAGATGTATCTTCTCTAGGTGTCATTCTTCCATTCCACTGTGACTGGGCATTGCAGGCCATGCAGGATCTTTTCCCCCCCGCTCAATGCTTTTAACTCTCCCAATCACTTCTCCGACGTGCATTTCCAACAGAAAGCCTCCTGTTGAACATGGTAGCCCGATCTGTATGTACTGCAAGCCTTAATCTTGTTATTGGTGAATGTCCTCATGCCTGATGATTTTGTAAATTACCCAATAAAAAATATTGAAAATCAGAAAGGCTAACGGGAAACAAGCTCTGGATATTGTGTCTATCTTCTTGGCCCGGTCAATGAACACCTTTCTCATCTCATCAGGGCTTTTTGGTGCAGCTGGAACAGGATTATTTGGCCCTTTTTGTGTCACTCCATCTTTTGCTTGCAGACATGGCCCCATTCCATATGCTGTAAAACTAAACTGACTTTCCCTTACGTCATCATCCTGTTGAAAAAAAAAAAAAAAAAACAAAAAACAAAAACCAAAACAAAACAAAAAAAACAGGAAAAAAAAAAAAAGAAAAAAGCAAGAATTTTTTTTATTCACAGAAATCTTACCAGCTGATAAATAGCAAGTGTTTCACCATTACCTCCGTGACTTCTTGAACCCAGTTTATCTTAACTAGTTGAAATTTCAGCCCTATCAGTGTCTGTCAAAAATATTGAAGCAGCTTCAACAAACACAGAGTTTTCTTATTTGTTTATAGATTCTGTCATCTATTTAGAGAAAGAAGAAAGCTTAGTACACTAGTGGTAATCAGGCACACAACTTCTGATTTGGTTTGATTTTCTCCATTTACGATAAATATCCGCAGTCTTTAACTGGGCTAACTTCACACTGGTCTTTTAGACAACAGCCATTAACTCTGTATATTGCTTAACAAAATGGGATCCTGGCCTCTAGAGATACTCATCATACAAGCACTAATGATGTTCACATTAATTATATTAGTGAGAATTCTGCCTATTTGGTCCTTGTATATTTAGTTAATCTTATCTGTATGCCTTATTTCTGTTGCTCGCTGTGAATACATCAGATAAAGACAATAGTATGTAAAGTGTCTTAGTTTAAAATAAAGTGAATGAAAGCTAAAGGCCAGATTTTACTTCTGACATTCTTCTGTCAATTCAGGGGGACTGGCAAAGATATTCTGAATTCAGGGAGCTACAAGCGAAAGTGGTTTTTAATCACATGGCAAAGTAGATGGTCTGAAGATATATGTATTTTCATAGCATGCATTTCAAGAACGTAGCTTCTGTCTGGAGACACATTTTGTACTTCTCTTTACCTGGTTATAGGTATTCTGAAGTAATAAAGGAGGTACGGATGCAGGCAAAGAAATGATACATAGACTGTAAAGCCAGGGCCAAATTTGGTTCTGAAATATATTCCAGTGCATTTCTTCACTATGCATGCTACTCAAGGATAGTCATATAATTTTGATGGCATTCACAAATTTTTTAATACTGATTTTAAATTCAGGATTTCCTATTTTTCATGTCTAATTTAGTCTAGTCACTTTAGGATGCTAGACTTTTATGAAGTATGAAAAAGTATTATGTATGTGTTATTTTTTAAATAAGTATTTTGGAAAATAATTTCCATAAGTATTAAAAAAAGAATTGAGCAGCAGTCAGTTTTCCTTTTGTAAAAGAATTGTTGATATTTTGAAGCTCTTCTTAGCTTAAATTAAAATAAAAGGGTAAAAAAATTTCTACTAAAACAAGTCAAATAATTAGTGTTTCAGTTCAGTAATTCTGAAGCATTTTTGTTTTATTTAAACCTCTTACTTTAAACACATGTAATCTCTCAATGCACACAGTTTAAATCCAAACCTCCAAGTTTTTCATTTTGAAAATGCCTGTGACATTTGGAAAATCTGAAAATGTTTTGGAATAGAAAATTAATTCTAAATATATATAAAGTTTCAATTAAGTAGTACTTGCTAGAAGAACCAGTGTTAATTACTTTGTTTAAAAAATTCCAATGATTTTTATCATCAATATTATTTATCTACAAAAGAATGCAGATCAATTACTAAGTTTGAAGTGAACTAGTTGGCAATCAGCACATGCATCCAGCAGAGCTGTAGTTATCACCCAACTGCTGTAGTTATTACCCAACTGCAATGCTTTTTCATGTATGTAAACTGAATAAACTTATAGATTAATATAGTTCACTGAAACTACTATACTTCAAATATGTATTAGTATTCTCCCATAAAAACAAAAAATAAAGAAAAATTAACATGAAAGAAAAGGAGGAAAAATCACTGACCGACTTCAATATGGAAATGAATAACAGAAATACAAAATGATAGGATCATTATTTGATGACGTGATAAAACAAAGATCTAATTACTACAATGGCGTTCCTCTCCTGTCAGAAAAGAATGGGCAATAACATCTTTATATTAATTGTATTCCAGAAGAATTATAATGTTGTATTCCAGTTAACAGAACTTACAAATACACGGACCGTGAGAATTTACACTAAACTTGCCATTTAAACACCTTCATAGGTACAATTCAGGGTTTAAATCTTTTAATGCTTCTCCAGAAAATAATGCTTACGATTGCACAGATTCAAAAAGATAATAAAATAATTCTTCTGAGTAGGAGCTTTCAGTTGGCTTTGTTTTCAGGATGAGGCACTATATACTAAGATGTACTGACTCTGTTCTGTGCTTACCTGAATTGAGCAGTCCCCTAGAATGGTTTTAAATGCCAGTTCTCTGCTTATTTTTTGCTTGCAGACATCCTGAATTTAGTCCGCGAGCAGGCTGCTTGAAAATGCTCTCTGTTGTTGAGGAAGTGATGTGAAGGTCCTTCTAGGAGTCTAACATTTCTGCCCAGTGTCTGTTGGATGGTATCTCCATGAGGGCAGGCAGGATGGTTGGAGCCTGCCAAGTCAGACCAAAGTGCTAGGGCTAATGGATATGCAGGAAAGGGCACCTTCCGGAGCATTGTAACATGCCAGTACCATCATACTTTTTTTTCTGGGATACTAGTTGGAATATCCAAAATGTGGTTCTGCAAGTTTTCTAGCAGGTTCATAATGCAGAAAACCCCTTAATTTGGCATCAGGTTCATATCTGAGGGTGCTTGTGCACAGCAGGAAAGATGCAGTTACTGTTATTATTGATACTAACTTCTGAGTGCTTTAACAAAGGAATTTTTATAAAATGTTAGTGACACCTCATTTGTTTATATCAATTGACTTGGCTACAGTCCTTCTTTTTAACAAGAAATATTTCTCATAATGCACGTGTCTGAGTCTACAGCTATTGAAGTCATGTAATAGAAGTACCCTGAATGTCCCAGTTGAGAATCTGGATAGTGAATCTTCCTGGAAAAGAGTCCTGCATTTTGGTGGGAATTTGTTTCTTAAATGTAATGAGGAGGCTTTTTTTTTTTTTTTTTTTTTTTTTTTGGTGTGTACTTGTTTAGTGCAGCATCACTAAAGAAAAGAAAATGAATGATTTCTTGTTGATTTTTGATAAAGCTTTTAAAATCTTATTATGAATGAACTTTAATAAAGGTTCGATATGAATGTGCTTTTCACACATATGGCTTTGGAATTAACAATATTCTGCATACAGCTACATATAAATATTTTATCATCTCTATTAAAATTACTGTAATTAAAAAATGGAAATAGATTTTGATAACAATTTTTTAGTTAGAAAGTTAGAATACTTTGGAGGCCTGAAGAAAATAATTTCAATTAGTTTATTTTCATATCAGCATTGTTCTACAAAATACTTAGCTCCAAAATATTAGAAAGCTGTCAGTTTCTGTGGCCCTGTGACTATGCTGTTTTCTGTCCGTATAATTAATAATGCATTTCTCTTGAGGAGTAGTATGCATAAAGGCTGCAAATATCTCTCTAGCCTTTTGACTGTAGGTTGCCGTAATGGCTTGGAGACTTATTTGAAGCCTTGGCTTTGGTTATTTGGACACTATATTTTTTACTGTTCATTTTTGAGAAGAAAAGTATTATTGAATTGTTTTGCACTACAAACAGCTTGGTTTTAAATGCTGATCTGGTAGCAACTGATTTCTACTTGAAATCTCAGTTTCTTTGAAGTTGCAGAAAGTAAAATTTTAGTACTGTGTTTTAATCCAGATTTAAACAGATCAAAATGGATTACGAAATTAACAAGACAGGTACCTTTATCAACATTTCACGTCATCACATACAGGTAGCAATGAAGGTATATGGAGTTCACATGGGAAGACATTATTTCAGACAAAAGGACAGGGCCTCTGTTAATGATTGGATATCACATTATGACAAATGGGACATCTTCTTCATAGTTTACCCTTAAATTTGTACTGTAGATTTGAGGCAAAGTCCCGTCTATAGGTCCTGTGCATCTCAAGCCATTGCTATGCTGCAATGATTCACTGATTTCATTTCCATCAAGAACTCCCTCAAAATACTTTCATCAAAATGGATGGGTTGACCAAAAAGAAAACAAAAGAAAAGAGGTGTGATTACCATTAAAGACAATCTAGCTTCCATGTCTATTTTCCTCACTAAAGATACAGTGATCTTTAGATTTTTGAAAATAGAATTAAAAGATTGACTATCCTGAAAACTAAATATATTAATAGCTAATCTAAAATCAGAGTTTTATTCAGTATATGTACACGGTTTATGTTTTTCCCCGTACAGTGTAAATGCATCTAAGAAAAAGCACTGATCATAGGTATGTTTCAGTATCCTTGTATGACTTCTAATTCTGCTGTTTTTTTACTTTAGTCTTTCAAGACTGAAAGGACTGTAATTGTAAAGGAAAAATTAATATTCATTCATTCTGAAGGAATGTTTCCATCACATTAGCAATATAATATTTGTGAAATAGTTATGCTCATTGGTCAGATTTCTTTCTCTGACAGAGACAAAGCACTATGGATCGTATACTGACTACCAAATGAAGTCTCAAATTAGGAACCAAAATTCCCCTGTTCTCCCCTGCCATTTGCGTAACCATAAAGAAATGAGACCCTTTTTGAAAAATCTCCTCTGCCTATTGTGATGCCTGTTGGAAAACGACGAGTATGTTGCATATCATGCTGCAATAACAGTTTTTGTTTATAAATGTATTTACAAAACAATCCCAGACACTTCAAAATTTTTGTTCATTCTATACAAATTGGATTGGGCCTCTGAAAAGAAATTTGCCTTTTAGTTATTTGGAATCATTGAGTGAGGTCCATACTTACAACCATAAAAACGGTAGCCAGAGGGTGCAGTTATACCTAAGAATCGCCTTTGATACTGCTGTTTCTGTTGTCTGGGAAGGGAGGCTGCAAATGTATTATGTGGTGTAAGAAAGAGGCAATGACTGTAGGTGGAAAAAGCATAAGGAAAATGGCAAGGATAGATGAGCTTTGGATGACAAAATTTCTTGATACAGCTCTGTACATAATTACATTTTGTATGACTATAATCTTCCATAAATCTCAGCAGCTCATATTTTTTTGCTACACCTGTTTACTGCAGGGGTTTTATCTGAGTTTGATCATATGCTTTTTAAGAGAGAGATTTCTGTTCTCTTGTGTTTTTAATCAGTATTGAGAAGGATAACCCATAGTTTTGATTAAATTTACAAAAGACTCCAACCTGGCAAAACCTGCAAATTTGTTTGAGGATATGTTGAGGTAAAATTGAATTCAATGATTTGGACAGAGTCTGCAAAATACAGGAGGAGAGTCAGTAGGTGCAAATACAAGGTACGACATTTAGCCAGGAAAAATCAACTTCACAAACATAAGATGGAAAGTGAATGGCTCTGCAGTAGTTCTGGAAAAAGACCTGGGAGTTATGGAAGGTCACAATCTTGATATGGGTCAATACCATGCTGTTGTTAAAAAGGCAAGTGTCAAACTGGTTTGGATAAACAAGTGTATAACTTGCATGATGTGGTCCTTTGGCTGTTCTCAGCTGTTACTGGGTAGGCTTCATGTCACAAACACAGTTTGGAGGAATTATATGGACTTATTAGGAGAATTTCCAGGGAAGGAGAATGAGCAAAAAAGAGACTGTACCAACTGGGAATATTTAAAGAAAAGACGACTGAATGGAAATGTGCAAATGGCTACATAAAGGACTAAAGTAGTCTGTTCTCTGTGCCGCTTCTAGACAAGCCATGAGAGGCCAAAAAAGGCATGAGTAAAAACTTTCTAAACCATTGGAATAAATTGCAGGGGAGGTTCTGGAATTTTTATGACTGGGATGAATTAGGTATAACTGATCCTGACTTAGGTCAGGAAAATGGATTCACTGACCTCCCAAGGGCATTCCAGCACTGAAATTCAATCGTTTGACCGTTGCTAGGGTTACTTGGTAAAAGTAAATATTTCTTTCAACGAGCATGTCTTTTTAATTACAAAGAAAATAGACTTTGGAATTTCTTCAGCTGCCCTATTGCAATTAGATATTATTCATACGTGTTCTCTTCCATCAACATATACCTGAAATGAAACATTTCCAAAACCATCTATTTTTGGACTTTTGCAACACAGCCGAATCACTAGGAATTTTGCTGTACCCTTGGAGATAAAATGCCAGTGCCAAAAAATTCTGTTTCCATCAGTTGGATGGTAGAAAAAACCTAATCCTAGTAAAATGTCCCAAGATGGTAAACATATAGGACGAAAAAGTCTAATAAGTTATCCTAACTGCTCTATTTCTCTAATGCATTTGGACATAAATACTGAATAGAATACCAGTTTTCACTTTGAAAAGAAAGAGGATTCAATGTTCAAGGAAGCCCCTGAAGTTTATTTTAAATGCAGCCTTTTAAACTAACTTCTTTTCATGTCCTTTGACTTTGTGGTCAAACGAACATTTCTTTATACATGGTAGTTTTAAACATCAATACAATATAATTCCTGAGAGCCAGCAGCTGTTTGACCTAATCCAAAGGGATAACAAACACATACAAAACTTTATAATCATAAGCTATAGTAACTGCCTTTGAAAAAGACAAAAGAGGAAGGAAACAGAAGTTAATTTGACTTACGGTCCTAGGGCCTGCATTTCATGTTAGAAATTGTGGTGAATAAATAATAACATTTGTGGTAAGGAAGGTTAGTTATTAACTGCTTTCTTTAATCCATAAAACATCATTTATTATTTGTATAAAACAGGGTTTAGGATGCGATCCAAATTTTTTGAAGAGGTAAAATCTCCATACTGTAACATTTGAAGTTCTAGTATACTTGTTGGGCAAAGAATGGTTTAATAAAACATTGAGAAAAAGAGAAGCAATGAGCTGAGCTGTCTCTAGAGCTTGAGAAGGTGTATTCTCAAAGGTTAACTCTGACCAGGAGCTCTAGCTCTACATAGAATTGGAGTCAGTCAAGAAATGTTCAGTTAATCTTCAGAAAAATATTTATTTGTCAAAATCATAACCTTGTATGGGAACAAAGCATTTTTTGGTAAATTTAGGCTGAGAAACTTGTCTCATGATGAAACATACAGATGCAGGGAGGAAGGGAAAGCCATATATGCCTGAACATAGTTAATACCCTCACCTGGGTATGTTACGAAGAAAAACATTGAGAAATGCATGGCTTCATCTTTCAATCTAAGGGGAGTACTTGATACTTTATTATAGACCCTGCATCTCTAAGTCTAATGCTCAAATTTTATGATAATCTAGTAGACAACCTACCTGAAGCTAGAAGACTAAGTGTAAAATTAGAATAAGGACTTTTAAGTGTGAATTCAAAAATACCATAACATCAAGCACTGATCCAGCAAAACTTTTAAGTCAATGAGACTATTCATGTGCATACTCTTTTGTTAAGCGGTCTTCTCTTAGAAGTGCTTTGTATGTTGTGGATCCTTCCTCACATACCTCTAAACTGAAATTTGATTGATTGTGATTGCTGAAGAAGCGCCTTTGGTGAGCTTGAAGTCTTGCTAAGAGGGGGCTGGAAAGAGATTTGATTTGATTCTGAGGAAGGAAGGTAATGTTACCTGTCAGTTTCTAATCCTGTGGTTATAATTGATCCCTATTCAGGGAAGTGAAAAGGCATCACTAAAGTTGTATATGGTGAATTTGCCTGAGATGCAGAAGACACTATAATACATGGTGGAAAAAAAGAAAGGACTGAAAGTATAGTCACATAATATATCACTCACCACAGCTGTTTGCATTTGATAGATGACGCATTTGTTGTGGCTCACCTGCCCCCTGTCTGGTAATCCGTCTCTGCCCATCCCATTCCCCCCATTCCAAACCTTTAAGCAGCTTTCAGAGAGCTGCCATATTTCAAAACCAAACACCCTGTCACAAAAGTGCTGCTTTCCTCCTGTGTGTCTCAGAAAGCGTTTTTTCTGCTACTGTCAGCAAAAAGAAAAAAGCACATTTTTCACAGGGACAGATATTGAAAGCAGGTACATGCAGTCTGAATCATCCTCTGTGCTACAGTACATGAGTTCCTCTCTGCACCTGAAAAAGTCTAGGACTTGACACACAGGAACAGGCAAATGTACAAAAATGTCATTTTCATTTGACTGTCCAGCCTGCCTTTTAACATGAAGTCTTGCTAGCAGAGACTGCTTAGGTAGGCTTTACAGCATTACAGATTTTCAGTATCTTCTAAGTAAAAGGGAAACAACCTGTTAAATGTCTTCTCCTTGAGATGTAAGCATTAAATTGAGGCAAGTCTTCAAGGACAAAAGATAGCTGAACTGAGTCATGTTGTTATGGGCATGCTTTCATCCACAGTAGTATTCTAGATAGTGACTGAAAGCCAGTGGAAAGACTCTGCATCGCATCAGTGGTGGGTACTCACTTAATGAGTAGGTTAGAGAAATATTTACTCTTTTTAAAATCAGGAGTTACATATTTTTGTAAGAAATTTTGCTTGTTGTTTGATTTAACTGCGGACTTCAGAATTCAAACCTGTAGCCTTAGCTGTTTGACTTTGCACATTGGTAGTGACTTATTTTACTGGTAGTCTAGATAGCTTCAGCTATAAAATAAATATTAACAACCATTGCTGTATTAAAGTTTCTTACTAGTTGTATCAACAATTTACAGTAAATTAACATGATAGAAGGAAAAAAACCCACCTTCTCAGCCTTTTAAAATAAATTGTTTGTTCTTCCACCAATAGTATTATTTGAATAAGTATTTTTTGCATTAAAAAATATTTACATGAAACACAGCTCTTGAGGTTTTGATCCGAATACTAGAATGAAGTTAAGAAACATTATTTGTTAAATCTCAATGTGGTACAAACTGCTGCATGAGCCAGTAACATTCATCCACTGAAGTATAATCTGACTCTTCTAACAGAGTGAAATTCATCCTTGTGCAGATGGCTCCCACATGGTCCATGCCTCATTTAAATCCCTCTTAATCCCTCTTTCGAGAATTCAAGTTGGATTTATGCAGCGCATAGTCCTTGTAGTGACCCTCTGCCTATAGTGAATTTCATTCTGTGCTGCCATTTTATTTATATTGCCACTTTAAGCTGCAGTATGTTTACCAAATTAACCCTATATCCTGGCATAAATCAATCTCAGACTCTCTTTCAAAGCTGTGAATACTGTTACTTTTACCTTGTTCTTCTTCCTCTTGCGGCGGAATCGCAGAAGTTCTTTATGCTGCCTTGACACAAAGTTTACAGCTGCATATTCCAAAAGTGCAGAAAATACAAAGAGCAGACACACAGCCATCCAGATGTCAATCGCTTTGACATATGACACCTATGGAGAGAATAGAGCAGAAGACTGAATGTGTTAAAACCACAGATGTGAAGTTTAGTATTTCATGTCAGGAGGAAGTGCATTAATATCCTCATATCCCAACACTACTTTTATCAAACAAAACTTAACATGAAAGCTAGATAACAAAAGGGACAACAATTCAATCTATCAGGGTTAAATATTATTTTTAAAAATGTAGTCTTTCACAAAATGCATTTACTGTTTATGTCATTAACCGTTCCTCACAGTGTACTGTGTATTTTATCACAAACCAAATAATCCACAAGAAGCACATGCTCTTCCTCCATTTGTCCCACTGAGATCTGTAAATGATACTAGGGAACCAGAGGATAGCTTATAGTGGGACCAGTGGGAATTCTTGTATTATAATGGATCTGATTTAAAGTTCCTGGAATAGAAATTAGGCAGAAGAAGGGAGATAGATGGAGAACTCTGATGTGTTCATTCTCTTCTAATATAGGCATGGTAAATCAAAGATGTAGGTTAAAATTAGTCCTGTAATTTTGACACAGTGGAAGTACTGAAAATCAACTACAGAGTAGATGAACTCATTGCGGTCCTTTATTGCCAAACTCAGCTGCAGGACATAATCTGAACTAGGAAAGTAGGGCCTGTTCCCTCTCTGTGTGCAGATTTACAAGAGCTTTATCATATGAGCCAACATAGCTAGTTTCAGGCCTCAGAAATGTGGCAAAAACATCTGTAGCTCTCTTTGGTAACCCCTTACATTCTTGCTTTTCTAAGTTTTTATAACATTCCATTTTCTTATCTGTTGATGCTACGTTCGGATGCATTTGTATCCATATACTTGAGGCACAAAGCACACTCTCCTCTGTTAAGGGTAACTATTTTACTTAGAAAAAAATTTCATCAGCCAACCTAAAAATACCATTTTAAAACTAATACAAAAGTGGACTTTGCATATTTTTATTGTATACTTTTTATTTCTATTAACTGCAATGGCACATGAAGATGGTCAAGGAACAACCCTTAAAATGAAAAAGAAAATCTTGAAAACAATGACAAGTCAGAAAACTTAAACAGTTAATCATATACTTTAAGCTGTTTACATTGTGTAGTGTACCATTCTTTATACAATTGTTTGGAGCTAGTTAGCTTCACATTTTTCTACATTTTAATGTAAATGTGTTTGTAACTAGTGAGTTAACTCATAACGTAGGCAGCTTTTGGGAGAGGAATATCATTGAGAACAGGTTGGAATCTATGACCTTTAGAAATTCAGTCGTATTTGCTAGCATGTCATCAGATACTGGGATCTGGAAAAGGATGAGCTAGTCAATTGCTAACAAACAGCATTTATGTAGTACTGAATAACATCACTTTCATCACTTGCTGAAGTTTATGGAATTTAGTAGATATGTGATTGGCCAAATAGTTGAGACAGGAGAGAAATAGAATATATTTGATTGGTGGGTCCAAAAAACCCTAAATATTTCAAAGTTATTTATCTCCTTTAGAAGATGCTTAAATGCTAATAATTAAAACACATATTATAAGGTTGACTGAAGGTATTTATTTGCAACATAGCATTATGACTACTGTGGTACAAACAAAGGAAGTTCTGCCTACCTTTGGAAGAGATGCTCGTGAACCTGAGCTTTGTGTTGTCATGGTCAGTACAGTTGTTATGCCTAAAGCAACTCTGGCTGGAGCTGCATCCATATTGATCCAAAATGACACCCAGGAGAGAATGACGATCAAGAGACTCGGTATGTACATCTGGATGAGATAGTAACCCATCTGCCTCTCAAGGTGAAATCGGACTTCAATACATGTAAACTTTCCTTTTTATAACAAAGAAGAAATATTCAATAGAAATAGAAAGTTCTTTACTGTTAATATCTAGTGCACCCTCTAAAGAACTTACACGCTATCAAATATATTTGTTATCTAATGAAAGATGAATGGTGTGATTTCTCTTCAGTGATATTTAATATGTACAGTCCTCATGATAACAGGAGTATCTACTGGAAAGGAAGCGGACAGAAAAACTGAAAATTTAAGAATTCGACAAGCTCTGGAACACTTCTTTCCTTATAAAAACAGAGAGATGACTAAACCAGAAATCATTATGACATAGGGAAGTTCCTCTGTGTGATCACACTTGTTATTCAACTTAGTGTTTGGAAATGCTGCTGTATGCAAAGAAAAGGCTCGCTCTCCCATTGTATAAAATCTCCTTTATCTTTTGGTTCGATTTTAAGCTTAAATTTATTTTTTTTTAATCCAATGAATTTGGGAAAAATATACTAAGAAAGATCAGTGTGGGTTATCAACAGGAGATCCTGCTAAATCTCTTCCTTTTCCGCATTCAAACTCTTCCAACTCAAAAGTACAATGACCAAGATTCAAAGAGAAATTGAGGACTTGAGATTAGGCAACTTTAGGAAGCTGATTAAATGGCCTATTTTTTCCAAATACTGAACATCAAGCAACTTCCACTAATTTAACAAAACCAGAACGAAAAAATCTATTGTTTGCTTATACCATTTTTTCCTCTTATCTAGATTGGTTTTTTTACCCTGTAAACTGTAGATTACTTCACAGATCTTGACCTGGTCTGATTAGGCTTTCTAATTCTGCTCAATGCTCATATTAGTCACATATGAATGGTGCTGAAGGCAATGCTCTTACTATAAATAGTGTATACGTGAAACAGTTTCTCACAGCAAGAAATATACAGATTTCTTCCTTATTTGAATGACAGCATTTCCTAATTCTAAATTTAACATGGAAAGCTATGTAGTTATTTATTTCTGAAGTGGTATGAAGTTTTTTGGTTATGTTTTCCAGTAGTTTTTGATAGATATTTTGCTAATCCATTTTTATTTGCCAAAATGCCATTTTATAGCAAATTGTTGCACATTAATAGTGCTTTAATATTTATCATATTAACAAAATTTATGTAATGGACTTATTTATGAGCTTATTCTACACTAATTTAATATATTGTGTATTATGCTGTGACAACAGTATTAGGCACACAGAATTGAGTTTCAGATAAAATCAAACTGTAATGTTTTTATCTGGGCATAATAAGTGCTTGGAACTATCTTCTGAACTTCATTATTTTCATAATAGTTCTCTTAACAGGCCATTAGTTCTTTCTATGATGTCATAGTAAATGTGATTATATGAAATTTTTATTCTGCTGAGGAACTAAAAAAAACATTTAGAAAGACAGTCATTATGGTGTTAAATTTTAAAATGACATGATATATCTGAGGAGTTTTATATCTGCCAGCTCAGTTATTAGTTCCATTCCTAATTGCCGGTGTTTTTTGAATCCTGTCTACACTCCTGAAATCTGTGTCCCAAATCCTGGCTCAACCATCTGCTGCCCCAGCTTCAAAACTGATTTCTGCTTCAATCAAGGAATTAAGTCCTGGTTTAACAAAGTGAATGGGAATTTTAGTGTTTACTTCAGAAAAGGCCGGGATTTTCCCCTATGTTTGTCTTCCAGGATCTTCAAAAGGATATCTACATGATACATTCTTTTACTTAGCAGTTCATCACACCCCATACAGCTAGAAGTTCTGCTCTGACTGGCCTTTGTCAGAATCATATTCTTACTTCAAGCTGGTCCTTACTCTGAAGATTTCTTCTTTTGTGACATTTGCTCTGTTAATTCAGCAGCCTTGGACAGCAGCAGTCTCTCTCTCAGTAAATCATGGTGGTAAGGAGTGACAGAAATGCATCAACCAAATCTAGGTCTCTTGCAAAGCCACTTTACGTGGCATCACATCGGCAAGAATTACAGTTCAACATGCAACATTTTCTTCTTATAAGGTCCTATATTCTTCTTTCAAAACAAATTAGGAAGGAAAACTAAGGAGCATCAGAATGGGTACTATGCATAATTGGAGTGTCAATAAACATTGGCTATATTTCTTGTACATTGTTTTTTTTCTCCAAAGAAAAGTGGGATGAGAGATCTGAGTCTCTTTCCTGAGTACTCAAGTGGGCTTGAATTATTACAGAGATCTCAGCACAAAAATACCGTGGTCTTAAACAAGGAGCAATAAATAATATATTAGCTCTGATGTGGATTATTTTTATGGAGTTACAGTTTGACAGATTTGTCTGAACTAAGGAGAAAGAGAAGAATAGCTGTGGACAACAGAAACCTAACAAAATTAAAGAGGTTCTGAATGAAAGGAGTGAAAATGGAATATATTGTAACCACAGAAAAGGTGAGGAAAAAAAGATGGGATTATGAAGAGGCCAGAAGTAGGACTGAGTGATGTGTCAGAGGAATTACACTGAATGTTTTTTTCTTGGTTTTGTATATTTGTAAATGTCATTTGCCAAGGTAAAAAAACAAACCAAACCAAACCCAAAAAAGTGAAGTGTGTCTCAAAGTGGAAAAATATCTCAGCTTAACTCCACAGAATGTCTGACACAGACTCCTGCCTTTGTTTTAGGCCCAGTGAGTTTATGGCCATGCCAGTCATATGTCCACTGCTTCCCAGTCAAGACCACTGTGTTCCTCATCTGCTCTGTTCCAGTGTAGCACTGAAAAAATAACATGTGGCAACTCCCCAGGGAGACTGGTGGCTACCCAGGTAGGCACCTCTGTTACTCCACTGCTGACTATTGGCTTTCTCACCAGTGGAAGACAGCAGAGGAGAAAGGCAGCAGTTGGAAGTCAGTCTTGGCACTGCAGTTGCAGCAGTTGCTGGTCTAAGTGTGGAAGGGTTGATGTTAGTTTTTGCCCTTCCTGGCTGAGATCAGAACCACCTGCATAAACTTGTCTAATGAAACAGAATGTAAAAAAAGAACATTTGCACTAGCAGATGTGAGCTTCAGCTAGGAGGTGGCCAGCAGAGGACATGCTGTTGTTTCCCAGCTGAAGCCAGCATCCGGCTGTCGGCCCCCTTTCTATTTCTGTATTCCATTTCAAACTCAAAGCCAAGTTAGCTGTGGTTTAATCTATTTGACTGGAAGCTTGAATGGATCAGAAGAGACACACACATGAAGTCATCTCAGCTGGGGAAGGAGACAGGCAAGCAGCTAAAAACATTGCTCTAATGTTCATTTGCAGTACATAAAAGGTAAGCTCTCATTCATTCCGATATGCACTGTAAATGTCACGGAGAGTGGCTAGGAGTATATGAAACCTTTGTGGTATTGTGGTTTTGCTGAGGCTGAGTAACAAAACAAGACACAATGCTAATTTCAGACCAGGGCTAAACATAGATGTGCGCACAGTCCATACAATAGACAGATTTTTGTAATGCAAAAGGAAGAACAACTATTGAGGTCTTCCTAAAGGATAAGATTTTTTTCCTGAAACAGAGGCTATATTCTTTGTGCTTGTAAGTCTAGCCTAACCAGGGATTCAAGTGTGAGAAAGGGACCAAAAGTGCTGCCTTGCTGAATGCTGTACCTATGCATATGACGTGTACTGGTACAAATGCATGGGATGATGTATTTTTCTCTCTTACACATGTTCTTTGGTAACAATGTCAGATCTGCCGGGCTGGCATGATTTCGATGCAATGTCCACACTGCAACCAATATTAGAGTGGAAAAATATATACTCCAGTCAGTCTATATGATTTTTCTTTCCCCCAGAAAGTGTAAGTGGCTTTCCTTGGGAGTCAGTGTCTAGGTCACATTCTTTTTTTTGTTGTTGCTGTTGTGGCCAACTGTGAGTAACCCAAGAAAAGCAATTTTCTATCTTAGCTTACCTTCACGCTGCGCAGCCCCCTCGGACCATGGCAGGTGCTGTTTAAGCAGTGGGTTATGCAGGCGGCAGTATGCCTATGTGATTAAAAGGCACTGCCAGCCCTGTGGGATGTACACGGGAAATCAAGCATAAGTAGTACCTTTCAGGCCATAAGGGGTCCTTCTTTTCAGTTTTATCTGCCTCAAACCTCTCCAGAGGCAGTAGGTGGTAGAACTTAAATATATTTGACCCCTTTTAGCAACCATTAAGATATCCGTTGGGGGAAGGTCTTCTTACTGTACCCTTATAATGTCATGGTCATTTTTGCCGTTCCCAGGAAGGCTGAGGAGCTGTTTCTGAAGCTACATAGAAAACTTTCATAATGGAGAATCACCTTAGGAAACTGAGCCAAGGAAATAGTGTGCCTGAGAAATAATTAATAAGGATAAGCATAATAATAATTGTTAATTCATGATGAAATTAAAAATTAGTAACATAATAAATATAAAATGAAAAAGTATAAACAAAAAAAAGGAAATAAATATGCAGAGATTCAATGGTTAATCCACGCAGAATGGAGAGATATCCGCTGAAGGTGCTGGTTCTTGATACTACTTTAGATACTAGTAAGTCATAGTCTGGCTTTCCTTATAAGAAAATACGTTGATAATGCTAATATCTGATCTACTGTGAAATATTTTATGGATATAGAGAAGACTGTGACCTAAAGACTATATAGCTTAATGAAATTACATTAAACTATTTACTTAAAATAAGAATTTTATACTTGCTGAATAGAGAATGGTTCAAAGCTCAGCAAAATTGAACTAAACTAAGTTAAGCAAATCTGAATAAATCTTTATGGAAGCCTGCAGAGTATGAGTCTTAGATCTGGGAAGTGGATATTTTATATTCTGATTCCAACACATCTGTCAATATGGATGTAGACTGCACAATTCTGTTTTTACCAGTGACTGATGACCAAAAAACAGCCAGCCCAAGGGCCAGAATATTGCTAGCTATGGAGATTTGCTAACAGTGTCCTGGGGCAATTGAACTGTGATGATGGCCCTGTCTAGCACTGCGTTTTCCCCCTTGAAAAACAGCTAGAGA